AATTATAAAAAAAGAGAAAAAACAGCGAAATAAAAAAAAAACACTAAATGCGCTAGAGTGACTTTGTCCGCGTTTGCCTGTACTAAGTTTCAATTTACAAGCTTGAGGGAAGAAAAAAGATTGCGATTACTTTAGGGGGCTTAATCTTTTCCGACCAGTTCATACAAATCGCTACGAAACTACCATCGGAAGCAATGTACGGTTGGGGAGAGAATAGCCACGCAACATTAAAGGTCATACTCAGATAAAAAATAATTGTGAGCAAAAAAATTATTTCAGCATAGATTTGATCGTTACACAACTTGGGCGATGTTTGCAAGAGATGAGTGGCCCTACTCCGAAGAATTTACCACAAAAAACCTTTATGGTACCTGTTCAAATTCAATTATCTCTTTACTATGACTACATGTCGGAAATACGTGTAGGTGTACATCCATTCTACATGATGTTGGAGAAAGATGGAAAAGCACATGGCGTCTTTATACTCAACAGCAATGCGCAGGTATATCTTCTTCGTCCATTTGAAGAACGATATTATTAGATATGACAATCTTTTGTTAGTGCACATATTTACAAAAAGTTTGCTACAAATCCGTGACGAATATGTTGCTCCTATGTACGACTAAATTCGGCAAATTTTTAGGAAATCATCACAGCCCCTGGGCCTACACTTATTTACCGCACGATCGGCGGTAATTTAGACATATACTTCTTCCCAGGTCCAACCCCAGAGGAAGTAACGCAGCAATACCTAGCTTTAATAGGCAAACCAACTCTACCAGCTTATTGGGGCTTTGGCTTCCAGGTAAGCGTCGCGCTTTTTTCATCATCGACAGACGGCTACACGTTGCTTGGCAGATCTCTCGGTGGGGTTACGAAAATTTCGCTGAATTGAAGGAAGTGGTCAAAAGGAACACTGAAGCTGGAGTCCCTTTTGACACAGTTGTCGGAGACATCGATTACATGGACCGATACAAAGACTTTACGATTGGGAAGGTTCGATACCGCAAATGAAGATGTGATTCAAATCTCATATATTT